AGTGGCTGCCCCAGGTCCTTGCCTGCCTCCAGCTGTCACTATCCTGCCCTTTAAGGTCAAAGGCATGGAGGAATGCCCTCCCTATCCCTGTCTAGTGATTTTATCACTAATTTGTTTCATGCTGTTAACCGTGTTTCCATATAATTGAGTTCTTTTGTAATCTGTGCTCCTGCAGATATGCGTGACATGAAAGCAACATCGAAAGAAAACAAAGCTTTCCATTTGAAGATCTTCAGTCTTGAATTTTGCTGAGAGAATGGATAAGAAGATTTTTGATGTTAAAACAACTCTTTACTAGCTCTTAGGGTGTTTCTGCTTTAGTTTTAAAAAACTAAGAGTCAGATGGGGTTAGGCCTAGAAAGAAGAAAATGAATAATGCTTACATGGAACTTGCTTAGATTTGACAGAAATAAAGGGTAACTTCCAGTTTTCCTGGAAGAGCTGAACTTTGCAAGGGGCAGAGAACAAAATAGTTTAGGTCAGAACCTGTGTGGAGAAATAGAGACTGCGTGTTGGCTGGTGTGTCCCAGGGCTGTGTGTCTTGGGAATACACCCAAATGTGCACAGCATACAGGGGACATATGGTGCTTTCCCATGGAGTGATTCTCACCCTGTTCTAGTTACAGACCAAGAGTTTAGAAGATTTATACTCTTGGGCGCCTGGGTGGCTCAGATGGTTAAGCGTCTGCCTTCAGCTCAGGTCATGATCCCGGGGTCCTGGGATCGGGTCCCACATCGGGCTCCCTGCTCCTTGGGAGCCTGCTTCTCCCTCTGCCTCTCTCTCTGTCTCTCATGAATAAATAAATAAAATCTTTAAAAAAAAAAAATAACACTAGAAGATTTATACTCTTTGATTTGCAGCAGTCCTACAATGTCTGGGATTTACATTTCTTGCCTTATATTCTTCACAGCACTTACCAATAACTAAAATTTCATCATTACATTCTTTGCCATCTTCCCTTTTAGAGTGTAAGCTCCAGTGAAGCAAGAAATCTGTCTTACTGACAGCTCTATCCCTGGTGCCAGAACACTGGCTACCACACTGGGCGGGGGGAGGGTCCTCCATAAATTCATGTTAAATGAATGGAGCTCACTCTGTTATTAAAAAATCAATTCTTTCCAAACACCAGTTTTAATAGTCATATTTACTAGGTCCAGGTTTGGTTAGAAAAGCTTCCCACCATTGTTTGAAATTTCCCTATCATCTCAGTCTAAAAGTAAAGTAGATCTGTGATGGGCATATAAAGCACCTGTCAACAGATCTGTCTTTTAAATGAAGCTGGATGAAGTCTGTAGAATTCAAACTGCCCAGAAGATAACACTCACCTCTATCTGCGGAGGCCTGGGATCCCAGAGATTCGTGCTTGAGCAGAGGCTTCATTGGCTGGAACTGGGTACTCCATGGCCTCTGAGCTGGTGTCAACACCGCCATCTTGCAACAGAGTAGCTGCCTCTGGTCACCGCCTGGGACCTGGAAGTCATTCACGTATTGATTCATCAAAACTTCTATTATGCTTTCTATGTGCTAGTACTTTCTATTTTCCAGGAACTATTTCTAAGAGCCTTATGAATATTCATTGAATGCAGATAACAATATTATGAGCTAGGGACTATTATTATCTGTATTTTTGTAATGAGGAAATGGAGGCCCAGAGCTGAAGCAACTTGCCCAAGGTCACCCCACTAATAAGTGGTGATGCTAGGATGGGGAGTCAGGCAGAGGGAACCCAGAGTCCATGCTCTTAACCACTACCGCATGCTCCTTCATTATATACATTGTGCTTTTGGGAACTAGTGTTAAGTTCTCAGAATATTCATAATCATAATTTTTATTACTGAAAAGTAAAAATAATAATTTCTAGCTTACAAGGTCTGGAGGACTAGTAAATAAGATATGAAATCACCTAACACATGGCTTGGTACATGGTTCATCCTCATTAAGTGCATGTTTCTTTCCAGGCATTTGTAATTAGTTCTGAATCCACTTTCAAGATCATTAGCTTATATGCAGCTTAGAATTCCCAAATCCTCTATATAAAACCCACAACCTGATACTAAGATACTCGAAGTAAGTTTTCACTGTTATAAGGCTCAGAGGCACTACTGCCAATTCAAGTAGTTTGGTCTCCTGGTCACCAGTTACTCTGGTTATGTGTTCCCCGAAAGGAACACACAAAAATACAGGATAATGCACAGGGAAAATGGTCTACAGGGCACCTGGGTGGCTCAGTCGTTAAGCGTCTGCCTTTGGCTCAGGTCATGATCCCAGAGTCCTGGCACTGAGCCCCACATCGGGCTCCCTGCTCTGCAGGCAGCATGCTTCTCCCTCTCCCCCTGCTTGTGTTCCCTCTCTCACTATGTCTCTCTCCGTCAAATAAATATTTTTTAAAAATAAATAGAATCTTTTAAAAAAAGTGGTCTACAAAAAGCAAGAAGATGCAGATAAAAATGAACCCAGGAGTTCTTAACCTGTGGTTCATGGGACTCCCTTCCAAGTGTTCTATGAATTTAAGTAGGAAACATTTCTATTTTTATTGGCGTCTAAGCAAAATTTAGCAATTCCTTCAATTATGAGTGGAAGCAACAAACCAAAGTGTTATAATCCTAAGTAGGCACAACCAGGCAAACACTATCAAAGTCATTCAGCACCACTTTGAAACTCTACCAGTTACTGGGCCTGTCCCTAGGTCTTACTATTTAGTGCATTAATTTTAAAAAGCATATATATGATTTTATCACTAATTTGTTTCATGCTGTTAACCGTGTTTCCATATAATTGAGTTCTTTTGTAATCCTTCATGTTCTTAAAAATACTCGTATGAGGAGGGGTCCAGGGACCTGTCCGGAGGAGCAAAGAGGTTCACGATACAAAAAGAGATTGAGAACTTCTGGATCTTACACAAACGCCCCTCACCCCGATCTTGAAGCTTCAGGAAGAGACAGAGCTCGGCTCTCAGATACTAAGCCCTTTGCCTCTACCTGCGGCCCTGGCTCCTCCAGCTGCCTCTGCAAATACTCCAAGAGCACCACCACCTCGTCCCCGGTCTCGGGGTGCTGCTCCCGCACCCGGGCCTGCAGCTCCTCGGGCAGGATGGTCAGGAACTGCTCCAGCACCAGCAGCTCCACGATCTGCTCCTTGCTGTGCGTCTCGGGCCGCAGCCACTGACGGCAGAGCTCCCGGAGCCGGCTCAGCGCCTCGCGGGGCCCCTCGGCCTCGGGATAGCGGAAGCCCCGGAAGCGCCGGCGCGAGCGCTCGGGGCCGGGGGCCGGACTGCCGGGCGCACCCGCCTCTGCCGCCGGCGCGGGGGCGTCCTCCTCCTCCACCTTCACGGTCAGGACCCCAGTCAGGAGCCGCGGCCGCTCCTCCGCAGAGTGGGCGTCCAAGGCCGCGCTGGCCTTCGACTCTCTGGCCATCCCGGGCCTCTCGCCCGCGAGCGCCTCTGCTTTCCGGGCGGATCCTCGAGCGTGGCGTCGCTACCGGCCGGCACGACTGCGGCGGGCTGCACGGGGCACGGCTTTCCCGCGGCCGCAAGCCCGCCGCGCCGTCCTCCGCTCCCGCCCAGAGGCTCGCCGCCAGCGTCCCCGCGGCTGACCGCACAGGCGGGCGCCCCGAGCGCAGGAGTGCCCGGCGCCCAGGCACCGGAAGCTCCGCACCGGAAGCCGGGGGCCCCCGCCATTTCCTCGGCTCTCTAGGACGCGCCTCTCGGTGGCGGCGCCGAGTTAACCCTTCCGCTGCCGGGCCCGCCGCGGGACGAGGCCGGCTCTGTAGAGGCGGTAAGACCTCACCTTTAAATCCCGGGGCTTTGATGTAAGCTTGGCTAAAGAGCTGGCGTGCATCGGACACTAACGTTCAGAAGAAGGTCCGCTTCCTCGGCGATCTTAGAGCTCTGGCAGGAGGGCCTGTAAAAGAAGCCGGAGCCATCGCCAGGCGCCTGCTTGGGAGAGAGCAGTGGCTGCCCCAGGTCCTTGCCTGCCTCCAGCTGTCACTATCCTGCCCTTTAAGGTCAAAGGCATGGAGGAATGCCCTCCCTATCCCTGTCTAGGCGGCTTCCATTCATCCTTACCACGTTGAAGGCAGCAAACCGCCAACAAAGCCATTCCGACCCCTCTAGCCGAATTAACTAGAAGTCCCCAACCTCCCCCACCAGTTACCACTTTCCATTTTCCAGGGCCTCCTTTCAGCAGCCAGGCTTACGCGGCTCCCTACTTCGGGGAACTCTGCTGTCCCTGCTTTCGGGACCCTATTCTCTCCTGCTTGCTTTCTTTTTGTTTCTTCCCAGTTCCCATTCAGAGTCTAGCTCAGTGAGTAGATCCACAGACTGAAGCCAAGATACCTGGGCTCATAATCCTGGCTTTATTTACCACTTACTAGGTGGGTGATCTCCGTTAACTACATAACCTCTTTGTGCCTGACTTTTCCAATCTGAACTGGGGGTAATAGTAGATAGGGATGTTGTGAGCAGTAAGTGAGTTTTTTGTGTATGTAAAGTTCTTAGAATAATGGCTGACCTATAGTAAGCTAGGCCTTCACTAAAATGGAAGGAAACCCTGAGATTCCTTTGAGCCAGAGGGGACGAGATTTAAGCCAGAAGTGACAGCAGTCATTTTGCTGGACTGAGATGTCCGTAAGTCCCCTTTCTACTCAGTGGAATGCAAGTTTGGTATAGAATTTTATAAAGTGGAAAAATACCATGCTGGTACCTTCCTGAGTTTTTATTCCTCAGTCTATCCCTCTGCAGTTCAAAAGGTAGCAAGGAAGGGATAGAATTTAAGAAAATGAGAGGTCCCAAAGGCTGTTACAAATGAAAACTACTAGAAAATATTTTTCTGTTGATGAGCTGCCACAAGAGGTACAAGGCATTGCTATGAAGTATTGTTGGCAAAATAAGTGAACCTGAATCAAATTAGGTTTCTAGATCCTTATAGTTGCATATCGGTGAGATTCAGAAGCAAGTTAGCATTTTTCACACTGCATGGCACGTTAGAATTATTGGGGAGCATTAAAACAGCTTGATATCTTGGTTGCAACCAAGATCAATTCAATCAGAAGGTTGAAGGATGGAACTTAGGTGTGCATAACTATAAAATTTTCATAGGTAGTTGTGATATGCAGGTACATTTGAGAATTAATGAGCTCAGTGGTACTTAAAAGAAGCAATAAATAAAATTCAGAATGTGGGAAATTCCACAGGACAGAAAAACCTGGATTCTCAACAAACAAATGGCATTTTTTGAAAAGGCAGCAGAGAAAAGGGAACTGTTTTAGATTAAAGGAGACTGAATAGATGTATCAGCCAAATGCAAACCTTATTTGGAAACTGATCAGAGCAAAACAGCTGTAAAAAACACATTTGGGACAACTGGGAAAACTAAAACACAATGATATTAAGAAGTTACTATCAATTTAGTTGTCATAATGATATTGGGGTTATGTTAAGGAAAAAAGGCCTCATTTGATAGAAATTTATACCGAGGTACTTGTGGGTGTACTGATATAATGTCTGGATTTGCTTTAAAATAATCAGAACCAGGGGCACCTGGGTGGCTCAGTTTAGCCTCAGACTCTTGATCTCAGCTCAGGTCTTAAGCTCTGAGTTTGGGCCCCACGTTGGGCTCCACACTGGGCATGGAGCCTACCTAAAATAAATACATAAAATACTCAGAACTAGAGAAAACACACAAAGAAATGTACCACGTTAGCTGTTGAAGTTGAGCGAGAGACATAGGGGTTTTACACTTATACATATTTGAAGTTTTCCACAGAAATTTACTTTTTAAGTATACAAAGTCCTACTTCTTTCTTGAATAATTCAGTCCAAAAGCCTTTAAGTGGTGCCAGGACGCTGGGATCATGACCTGAGCCGAAGGCAGATGCTTAACTTTAACCGACTGAGCTACCCAGGTGCCTCACTGTAGACATATTTTAACCGCTACACTGCTTTTACCTGTTGAGGAGCAGTCACCTTGCTGCCAGAGAAAATTAAAAAATGATAGTATGGCTATATGACCTTTTAAAGATATGATCAACTTTTTTTTTAAGATTTTATTTTTTAAGTAATCTCTACACCCAACATGGGGCTCAGACTCACAACCCCAAGACCATGAGTCCCGTGCTTGCTGACTGAGCCAGCCAAGGACCGCAATATGATCAGCTTTTAAAGATCCCTAGAAACTAAAAGACTCACTTCTCTGCTGAGCACAGAGAAATTTAGGGGCTGCTCAAGTTCCTCACCTAATTGGTAGCAAAGTTAGGACGAGAAGCTTTGTTATTCAGAGCTTCAGTTATCCAGTGAAATTTTTACCCATTATTGTTTCTCATGAACTCATGAACAGTGCCCCTCACCTATACTATTCATCAGTCACTGTCCAGGTAACAAGGGTTACTCTCTCAGCTCGGGGAATTTAGAGTCCCATGAATAAGACTGGAATTTCAGTCATACCTGAAGAAGCAGATTCAGGAGAGTAGAAAATAGAATTTGAGAACATGGGAAAGAAGTACATTACACCAAGTGCTTATATTTCCCCATTATATTCATTATGTTGAAAACTATAAGTAGGTATCTTTGATTTAACTCTGAGGTCTCCAAAAGTCCCTCAGATGGTACATTTCTTCTTGTTTATTGCTTACAGACATAAAAACTTAATCCTGACACACCTTAATGGTAATATTAAGATCAAATTAAGTGTTCAAGTAACAGTTGAGATGTTGCTTTAACTGTTAGAGGCAGGTCTGACCCTTCTAGGCATAAGTATATAGAAATCTTCAGAACAATGGAGAAGAAACAATTCTCCAACCTGCACAGAAACCTTAAAAATGCCTACGTGTTAGGTATTTTGCCATCCTTTGTATTAAGGGAATCAACCATATAGATTCTTACGAAACTGTTACAACATGAACTGTACTAGTTCCAAAATTATACAGTATTTTTCTTAATTCTGTATCCTCTGTGTGAGACTATAGATAATTCAACAGAGTTTCTTTTATGTGTTGCATCAGGAAAAATAGGATGCTCCTTTGTCTACACCTATTGTTTATAGAGCTGGGAGTCAGGTGAGGGAGAGAGGCACTTAGGTCACAGAATTTAAGAGAGTGGATGTGTCCTTAGATTTGGGCCCTCAGTGCCTCTCTCACCTCACCCTACTCCTGGCTCTGTATAAATACAACATTAGAATCCATTAAGCATTTTTATATTTATCTCCTCTGACTCTTCCATTGGTGAGGAAGTGGCACTGCTAGGAGTCTCCCTCATGTCTCTTCACACTCTATTCCTAACTTCCACTACCAGTCTCTTTCCTAGAAACTGCACGTTTAAGCAAGAGTCTTGTTTCTACAGTGAGAGGGTCCCTGATTAATTCATTCATCCAGGCATGTTTATTTTATTTCACCCCAGATACAAAGTGGAGTTTGGGAGAAATCACAAAAGAAATGAAAAGTGTGATTCTTGACCTTGAGATGCCTAGAAATGTATCAGGGAGAAAGTAAAAGGCAAAACCTAAAAATACAGAAAGTAACACTACAAAATGATAATGTGCAGAGAAGAGGTTGAATACAGCTTTAAAACGGCTGTAGGATCACCCCTTCAACAGCACGGTGGTTAGGAGCGCTGGCCCAGGCATAGTCCACCCTTCACAAAATCATAAGAAAGAAAATACATTTACAATACTGCGTGTACATTTATTGTAAAAACAAACAAACAAACAAAAAAAAAACCCAGACTGTGGGCAGCACTCTTCCCAGGTGGTGTTCCCCTGCCTGGAGGCTTGGGCTCAGCAGCTGCCACACCAGGAAAATTTATGGAAAACAATTTTGAGAAAGATAGTAAAATATTACCTGTGAGAACAATTTCATTTTAGCTGAGCTTTCAACATCTGGTGCTTTTCTTAATGATTAGAATGTATTGCTATTTCAAAAACTACCTATTTTCTTTTTTTTAAGATTTACTTATTTGAGAGAGAGAGCAGCCACATGTACAAGCAAGCCTAGGGGCAGAGGGAGAGGGAGAGAGAATCCTCAAGCAGACTCCCCACTGAGCATGGAACCCAACGCAGGGCTTGATCCCAGGACCCTGAGATCATGACCTGAGCTGAAATCAAGAGTTGGCCACCTAACCGACTGAGCCACCCAAGTGCCCCCAAAACTACCATTTTTTAAAAAAAGATCTTCAAATACATTTTTGTGCTCTATCTGAATATTTGCTCATCTATAAATAAAATTAAGAAAATAAAAGCCCCTCCCCCCAAAAAGGTATGGTAGGCATTTATTTTTATTCCTATCAGCATATTTTTTGTCCCACTGCTTGCTCTACTAAGTCAGGGGTCAACAAACTACTGTCTAAAGACCAAAATTGGCCCACTGCCTGTTTTTATATGGCGTGAGCAAGAAATTATTTTATATTTTCATATTGTTGAGGAAA